GAATAATATTTATTATTTAAAATATTTAAAACTTAAATTAGTATGAAAAAAATAATAATAAAGCACAAATAAGTCGAAATGTTTTATTTATAAAGTTATTTTCCTTGGGCTAGTTTACTTATGATTGTGACACATCATTTGTGAAACCTGAGTGTTAAGTTTCATGGAGCTGCAGGTTCATGAAGAAAACTATTTACTTCCTCAAACAGGATTAGGCTCAGAAAATACTGCAGCAGCTGACATTTCCGTGCGTGCACTGTCATTTTATTTAAAATATAAATATATAGTTTAACCGTATGTGAATGTAGCTAGATCATTTTAAACCAAAATAAAGTGAGAAAGCTGCACATATTTATCCCCGTCTGTCAGTCATTAGGATTTGAGGTCTTTTCCTCCGTCTGTCGGTCGGTCCGTGTCCAGTCTCACCTCGTTCAGCAGCCCCTGCCAGTCACTCTCGCTCCTTCGGGACGGATCCATCTCACAACCCGATTAAAGACTACACCAAGCTATATGTTTGATTTTTGAACCGCTACCGTAGTTCTAAAACGCTCAGTGACATTCTGCATCACCGACACAGATTAGCTGATGAGCGACAAGGTCCGCATCATTTCCGCGCAGCTTCGACGTCCGAGCAGCGTCACGACGCATTCAAAGACGCTCGTAAATCGAAGATGTACGTTGATTCACGCTCTTTGACAGCATTAAACCAGTTATAAATCAAGAGTCGGTTTTTTATTTTATTTTATTTTATTTTTACTTAGCACAACAAATAATAAATGTGTGTTTTGTGTATTATTTCTCTGTTGTAATGCTTCTTGCTTGGTAACAAACCTTAATTGAACTTGATTGGCAGCAGCTGTGGGTACCACAAGCTCAAAACAAGCGTCATTCAGCAAAATAAGCTGTTTGGCTTTGTCAGAGATGATTTGGATTTTTTTTTTTAATGTGCACAACCAACATACACAGCTGCTCTACTGCTCATCTCACAAATGCATGATCCTTACGAATGTGGCACCATTTAAAAGGGAAATTTAACAAACTTGCCAAAAGGCATTAATTTGTTACAACACAAAAATAATCTATCAAACACGAACTTCCTTACTTTTTGTGCTAGGATTAGTTTCTTTWAAACACCTTTGAACTTCTACTTACTTATTTTAAACTTTTTCATCCATCCAGGTATAAAGAAGCTCAACCTGTGGTGGTAATGACGTTTGGTATTTGTAACTTTTCTTTTTGTTCTTTTTGTTTTCCTCATAGAATTGCATAGAGATCTGTTAATACTCTAAAAAACAAACAAACTTTGAGCTTATTAAAATCTTCAGTAGTGCAGTTTAGAATTTGTTTTACAAAGTTTAGCCATTCTGCTGGTTTTAGCTTTAAACCAATGTTATGATAGTTTAGATTTCAGCAACTGATTTGCAGCTTTTAGATATATTTGCCAGTTTTATCTTTTAGCTGATGTTTTGTTCATTTTGATTTATATACGTTGTTTTGCTCATTTTGGATTTCTACAGTGTTCTACTGGCTTAGCKCTAAATGAGTGTGGGGGGGATTTTTTTAGGTATAGCTAATTTTTGTATTAGTTAGTATAAGCTAAATCAGCTAAATATATTAGTCTTGATATTTTTTACTTTAATGAGTATGTTTCAACTTTGTCAACAAATCAGCAAAATTATTCAATATTCAGTTTGCACACATAATCTTTGTAGAAAACTAATTATTTTGGTGTAAAAAGTTTTTTCCTCTTCATTTGTCACCCCTGTTTACATGTCAAGACGATTTTTATATGTCAAGACGATGTAAGTAGATGGAGAAAGTAAAATAACACCAAAAGTTCCACAGCTGTTGACATTTTATGTTACATTTTTTATGTAAGACTGTACACTATGCATTTCAAATCAGCTTTATTTTTATGAAGCACTTTAAAACAGTGGCCGCTGAAACAAAGTGCAGTTCATGGGGCCAAAACAATAAAACAAATCAACAATAAAAACTATAAAAGCAAGCAAAAACATCTAAAACAGAGCAAGGTCTCATGGTAGGTTATAAGTCAGTGAATAGAAATAAGGTTTAAGAATTGTTTTAAAAACAGGCATTGAGGAGGCCTGCCTGATGTGTTGGGGTAGCTCAGCAGCAACAGAAAATGCTTGATCACCTCTTGGAGTTTGCCTAGTCTCCTCTAAACTGATACCGTGCAGGGGCATAGGGCTGGAGAAGCTCAGAAAGATAAAGTGGGGTATTTTTGATAAAAAAAAATCAAACAATTACATTAAGTATGGTCAAATGATTTTTAATACAGTAWGCATTTTCACAAACCTACAATGAACTGCAGTTGTAGATTTGGTAAAATTCACTTTATGCTGTAAACTGGGGAAACATACATCATCATTAAACCCAAGAACTGCTGGATGAAGATAAAAGGATTTCTTCTGCCAAGAAATGTGACAATATTACAAAAACATATAACGTGTACTTGGTCTAGAAAAACCAAGGTCCATCTTTCAAATTACAGCTTTGATATTTTTGAGAAAAAAAATACCAGTTTCTATACTGTAAACAAATCTGTAAGAGACCAGTAAGGAAATGTTTCTCACATCTTCTTGAAATCAACATTTGAAAATAAAATAAATGCACACAATGGATTATTGTTGCTCCATACAAACAGCAAGTGCTATAAACTTTGCATAGTAATAAACATCTACTTTTCCTTTTGTTGTTAATCAGGCACTCAACAGCGTATTAGCTTGATCGGATTACAGCACACTTTAGCGTAAGCAAACTATTTTTCTACAACATTCATTTTGGTTATGATGGAGAAGAAAATGGTTTGCACTCGGTAATAATCAATGGAGTTAGTGGGATCAGAAAGCTTTAAAGTTTACTTGATAATTCTCAGTTTCTTTTTTTATCRTAATGAATTCCACTTGACAGGAATACCTGAAATTTAGGATAATCTCTAAATATCACTGGGCTGGAAAGCCTTTCAAGACCACTCATAGACTGCATGATGAGTTTTCCATTTCTAGAACATTTAAAAGATATGACTAACTATATGGGCTGGTATAGTCTCCAGAATGAACAATCTTTGTTTGAAAGTACATTACTTCAAAAATGACTTGACTACTTCTTTATGGTAATTAGTGTTTTTATATTAGTCCACAAAAAGTATGAATTTGATTGCATAAGTATTGATTATACAGCATGTGAGATTATAGCATACAGGCTTAATCAGAGTAATYAACATTTAATTTTTGATTCACAAGCTTAGATCCACAAATAYATGCTCAAAGACTATTGATTTTCCCTTAAGGCTGGAGGAGAAGATGAAACTCCTCCGGTCGGTGGTCACCACGGTGAATGAGCGCGGCGACTGCACGTAAACATCCTTAAATTTGTGAAACGTCTTGGTCTCGGCATCCCAGAKGTGGATCTGCGTGAAGGAGTAATCGCTGCCAAGAGCGAGGTAGTATCTGTCCGAGAAGGTGAACGGCTGTAGGATCATGGCTCCCCGAGAGGGCAGAGGCTGCACCTCTGTGAACTGCTTGTTGGCCCACTTGACGACTTTGGAGTCACCGATGTAGCAAGCCAGAGCTAGGTACAAGCCTCCTTCGACTCGGAAAGCTTTGACGGACACCACGTCGTCGATGATCGGGATTTCGCTGTGGAGTACGAACTTCAGGGTGCTTTTGTTCCACAGGTAGACGACTGGTGGCTGAGAGCGGCTGGCTAAGATCACATGGAACTTCCCGTCCACCTCAACAAACTCTGCATCTGTATCGCGGAACCATTCGTGGAGAAACTGGTAGGTGTAGAAACCAGTCTCATTGTGGTCGGGTTGGTCAGTCCACTTGTAGAGAGTGGAAAGGCCCGCCTTTGAACTGTCCACAATCAAAAAATACCAATCACCATCCAWTTGGAAAACCTCCATGTCGTTTGGCTTTGAGATGTTGAAGACCTCGATGGTTTGAAACTTGGTGAATTTGTTTTGTTTAGCATCAAACTTGAAGATGTGGGAGCCGCCAAAGAGCTGGGTGACGATCATCAACACGTGGTTTTCAATCAGAAAGGACTTGCATCCAACGACAGATTTTCCTGCAAGGAAGAAGCTTGTTCGTGATAATAATACTAAAAAATGTAAACATMTTTTTTACGGTTTTAGATGACAATACCAAAATCAAAAATGAGTCTAAATATATTTTCATTCCCAACATTTTYATCTGATTCATAGGTAGACATTTATCCTGAATCCCATTTATACTTTCTGATTCTTTTGTGAGAA